ATTCAGACTACTGCATAATTGTAATAATTGTATAAATAATATCAGCACATTCATGAATGCATATCAGACTCACCAGTTGATGTGTATTGGATACATGATGTGATTTTACTCTTGAACATTGGCAAAAATTGAACATTTCAGCTACTTTGAGCTTAAATTCAAGCTACTTTTCTTCTGTAAACCATTCAAAATCATGTCTATTTCTGTAATATATCTTCCATTCTATCAAATGAGATCAAGAAAATGAAAATACAACCATAAATACCATACGAAAATACACCACAAAGTCACTGTTTTAAACTAAAAACACGGTCGCAGTTTTTTCTCACCATATACTGTGTGCTGCATGATTTTTTTATACTACAAACACTGACCATGCAGACCCATTCTCTCACATGTAGGCCCATCAGCTTTCTCCAGCAAGATTTGAAGCCACAGGTAAAAGGCAGTTAAATTTTCATTTGGTATTCTTTTTTACAGTTTCCCTGTGCTGTATAATTTATACATTGCATTGTTTTATGTAGTAGTTAGTATATTATTACGTATTAATAAAGTATTATAATGTCATTTAGGATCTGGAACGGATTACAGTGGTCTGTCTGTCGGTGCCATATGGTAAGGGGTACCATACAGTACAGGATACCATATGGTACAGATACAGTGATCCCTGTGGAAATAAGTTACCATGACTTTTCTGGGTTATCCTAGGATTTTATACATATGCTGCTATGTATGATAATCTATGTAACTGTATTTGTGTACACCTGAATAAAATTACTCAAGCGCATGTGGCATCGTCAGTAAGTTTATTTAGGTATACACAAATACAGTTACATAGATTACCATACATAGCAGCATATGTTTAGAGAACCTAGGATAACTCAAAAAAGTCAGACAGACTTATTTCCATTAGGGTCCCTGTACCCTGTACCATATGGTACAATGTACCATATGGTATAATGTATGATATGATACAATGTACTATATGGTACATTGTACCATATGGTACCATTGTACCATATACCATTGTATAACATGGCACCACTGTACCATATGGTACCATTGTACCATATGATACAATGGTACTATATGGTTCAAAACCACAGAATTCCTCTTCAGATCCACTTCCATCAGTCTTAGAACTGTAAGTTGTGAAGAGGAGAGTCAGAATTCGCCCGGAGAGTGAGTGGGGAGTGAGAGCTTCCTTGCCGCCAGGCATGATGAACAAAGCTACTTTGGCGGCGTTCCCACAATGCCATGCGGGCATCCAGATTTTTTCTATAGTGCGCACACTAACCACCCAGACCCATTCTCTCAGATGTAGGCCTACCAGCCTTCTTGCGCTAAATTTGATGCCGCTAGAATTTTCGCATAGATCTACGGTTTGGACCTTCAACGTGAAGCCATAGATCTACGGCATGGACCATGAAAGGGTTAATCCACTCCAGACACCCAAAAGTATTAAAAAAATAATTTTTTTTGCATAAAATATACATTTACCTACACAGAAAACAATGAGACATGAAGAATAAAACAATAATAACATGACACTTACCTTTATTAATTAAAGACTCTTCTTAGTGTATTGAAGATGGGAGGAGGGAAGAGGACGGAGAATACTGTTTGGAAGGGGAATCCCCTCCATAAAGACTTCAGGTACCAAGTCCTTTTCTGGGGTTATTTCCCTTCTTTGTCTTTTAATGCCACTAGGACCAGGTTGAAGTCACTGGACCCCTGTCGCTCAAAAAAGTGTTCCAGAGAGGTCTGTTTCTGGCGTATGTTAGGAATTTTTGGCAGCGAGGGGTGGTGTTGGGGGTCGAGACAAAAGCCTTCAATATGACACTAATATCAATTTACCTTATTTTTCTAGACAAATTTATCTAATATATATAAAAACAATATTAATACATAGAAACCGATGTTATCTAGAATGAATAAAATATGCATTACGTAGGATTGGGTTGTTTTTTGTTGTGGGTGATAAGGGCACTGAAAGGTAAGCCTTAAATAGTGGTGGGGGGGCGGCAGCAGAGACGGGGTTTGGGGTCGTTTCTGTTTCCCCTTTTTTTACGCCTAATCGTTTTAAATTACTACTTGCTACACTGTTAATGTTATACTTTATTGATGGCTGGTGCTATAGCCTTTATTGACTCCTGCTGCTTTAGTATCATACATATCACAGAATCACTGAAGAAGGCACATTCTCCCCTCTCTCTCAGCCCTTTACCAAAGGGCTGGCTGGCACTAGGAACTTTCTTTGAGCCCATGGTGGCTTATTTAGCAGTTGCAAGAACTAAAAAAAATAGAATATTACAAAATGTATCATATGAACGCGTGGGGTGATGGTCACTCTCTGATAAACAACGGCAGATTGACTGTGAATGGTGTGGAATGGTGTGTGGGGCTGCTTGAGCCGCTCGTACGTGCTCAGGATGAACGACTATTACGGTAGTAAATGACGATCACAGAGCCAATATTTTGATGAAAAAATGTTATGACTACCGAATATTACAAAATCCAACGACTATGGGAGGCGGGGGTCCACTGTTGTGTCATACTGAAGCATATTGTCCTGTCTCCAACAATAAACTCGCCTCCCTCTCCCCTCCTCCCAGTCTGCCATACACCAACAAGAGTCTTCAATAAAGGTAAGTGTGATGTTAAATGTTCATTTATACATTTTATTAGTGCTTTATATTTATTTGTTATTCTTTTCTGCATGTAAATCTATATTTAAGCTAAAAAAAAATTTTTTAGTTAATATTTCTGGGTGTCTGAAACGGATTAATTGGATTTACATTATTTCTTATGGGGAAAATGGTTTCAGTTTTCGCTGATCTCTCTGGAACGGATTAATGACAACTAGGGAGGGCCCACTGTAATTCTATTTACATTATTCTTTATGGCAAAAATTGCTTTGGTTGTTGTCCATTTTGGTTGTCGAACTGACATCTGGAATGCATTACGTTCAACAACTGGGGATCCACTGTAATATCAATAATAATAATAATAATAATAATAATAATTAATAACTTTTGTTTTTTTTTAAGGTCACCCTGCCTCGGTGAGATATGGTCATTTTGTTAAAAAAAAAAAAAAATATCCATGCGTGTCGTAAGAGGCAACTAAAATGCTGGGAGCAAGGGGCTAGTAACCCCTTGTCTTGCATACATTACTAAATTTAAAAAGAGAAACTTTTGCTTTTCTTTTTGGGCCACCCTGCCTCGCTGGGATACGGCCAGTTTGTTGAGAGAAGAAATTAAAAGTGAACGTAGAAAAGAGCAAGATGATAAGGGTGACAAAAAATTTAGGTAACGAAATACTGAATATCACATTGGGAGGAGGGAGCATGGAGGAAGTGAATGTGTTCAGATATTTGGGAATGGACTTGTTAGCAGATGGGTCTATGAAAGATGAGGTGAACCATAGTAACATCTATGAAGGATTTAGGAAAACCGGTTAGCTAGACTTGAGTCCTGGAGGTGGGAAGTACAGTGCCTGCACTCTGAAGAAGGGGTGGGGATATCTGCAGTTTTAAACTGTAGTATCAGTGGCCTTCTGGCAAGACAATGATGGTGAAAGTTTTTCATTATTTCTGGGTCACCCTAACTCAGTAGAAAATGGCCAATGTTTAAAATAATAATAATAATAATAATAATAATAATAATAATAATAATAATAATAATTCTCCATGGGAAGTGGAAAAGAATTCTTCCTCATGCATATCATAAGAGGCAAATAAAATGCTGGGAGCAAGGGGCTAGTAACCCCTTGTCCTGTATAAATTACTAAATTTAAAAAGATAAACTTTTGTTTTAATATTTAGGTCATCCTGCCTCAGCGGGAAACAGCTGGTTTGTCAAAAAAAAAAAAAAAAAAAAAAAAAAAAAAAAAAAAAATAATAATAATAATAATAATAATAATAATAATAATAATAATAATAATAATAATGATGGAAACATAAACACATATGCAGTTTAATGTGATCCTTTATTGAAAACGTTTCACCCACACAGTGGGCTTTTTCAAGTCACAAACAGATCTACCTGGGGTGGAAGGTACGGGAGTATTTATAGTCGGGTTCAGAATGTTGAGGTCAGGTGGAGAATGCTGCATCTGATGATCTACCGGGCGGGGTTACAGAGTCTTGGGTAGCTTGGCAGGGGTATTGGACAAGTTGTGAGTAGACCTTCTGCAGTGTTCTATGTTCTTATGTGGGATAGCGATGAAGAAGTTTCTTGGCGAGTGGTTCAGCTATGTTATAGAAGCCGTTGTTCTAGTTGAAATTGTTGGTTATAGAGATAAGCGATGATTCCAGGATTCTTCGGTATTAAGTGTTGTCTTCGCCACAGAAGACAACACTCAATACCGAAGAATCCTGGAATCATCGCTTATCTCTATAACCAACACTTTCAACCAGAACAATGGCTTCTATAACATAGCTGAACCACTCGCCAAGAAACTTCATCGCTATCCCACATAAGAACATAGAACACTGCAGAAGGTCTACTCACAACTTGTCCAATACCCCTGCCAAGCTACCCAAGACTCTGTAACCCCACCCGGTAGATCATCAGATGCAGCATTCTCCACCTGACCTCAACATTCTGAACCCGACTATAAATACTCCCGTACCTTCCACCCCAGGCAGATCTGTTTGTGACTTGAAAAAGCCCACTGTGTGGGCAAAACGTTGTCAATAAAGGATCACATTAAACTGCATGTGTGTTTATGTTTCCATTGTGTCGGTATTTTATACCATTTATTTTCAATAATAATGATAAGGGGCAAGGGGCTACTAATCCCTTCTCCTGTATATATTACTAAGTGTAAAGGGAGAAACTTTCGTTTTTCTTTTTGGGCCACCCTGCCTTCGGTGGGATATGGCCGGTGCATTGAAAGAAAGAATAATAATAATGATAATATCTAAAAACATTTGTAGGAAACAAGGGTGAGGAGTAACAGCCTGTACATATGAACAAAATCTACTGATGTCTCACCCAGCTTCATCTGCTACTTGTGACATGAGGCCGTTGACAGCATCTTGAGGAATGGCTGTGGTGACGGTCTGCCCCATAGCAGTGTCCATATACGAGCTCTGCACGTCGAGATCCTCAAACTGGTGCTCAAACTTATCCATAAGTGCTGAGATCTTCTCCAGGTTCATGCTCTTCATGGCTGCATCCAGATTCTTAACCACTCCTGCCATGCTCTGGGTTACCTGCAATTAAAACAATAATAATAATAACTTGATAATGATAATAATAATGAGCAGAGTAATATTTTGTGAAGGGATTCAGGGAAACCAGTTAGCTGGACTTAAGAGTCCTAGAGGTGGGAAGTACAATGCCTGCCACTTTAAAGGAGGGTTTTGGGATACTGGTGTTGGGAGTGGTATCTAAACTGTTGTATCTGGTTGCCTCTGCAAAGACAGTGATTATTTGTGAATGATGGTGAAAGTGTTTCTTTTTTGAGTCACCCTGCCTCTGTTGGAGATGGTAGACATGCTGAAGAATATAAATAAATAAATAAATAAATAAATAAATAAATAAATAAATAAATAAATAAATAATAATAATAATAATAATAATAATAATAATAATGTATGAGTATTGAAAGAAACAATTATAATACTGTACTGGGAGCAAAGGGCCAGAACCCCATCTCTTGCATAAATTACTAAATGTAAAAAGACAACTCTCATATCTTCTTTATCGGGTCACCCCGTCTTGGTGGGAGACGGGAGATGTGCTGAAAAAAAAAAAAAATGAGGGAGAATTATGACTTAAAAGTGCCAAACCAGCCAAATTGTGATAGTTATGTAAGCCTGCCAGCTACCAGCAGCAACAGCCAGGCTGACCAGGCACTCAACAATGTCTGGCCTCAAGTTGGACTTTGAGAGAGAGAACACTTCTCTAAACTATTTACAAGTATTACAAACATTACGAGTCTATGAAAACCTACGAAATGCTTTTGGACAATTCTCATTCTGTCATAGGTAAGCAAACAAACAAACTTCATTTCTATAAAGTGGAATACAGTATACAGGTCCTCCATCACAAATCCGGCATCATTGGGACCTGTAGTGTGCCGGATTACTGAGTTTGCCGAATTACAGAGTGGTTAGGTTAGAATACACTTAATAAAATTAACCAACTTGACTTGCACAGTTCATTGAACATCGACAAAAATCGAACATTTCCGCTACTTTGAGCTCAATTTCAAGGTACTTTTCGTCATGAAAGCAATCAAAATCATGTCTATTTCTGTAATATATCTTCCATTCTATCAAATGAGTCCAAAAAATGAGAATACAACCATAAAAACCATATGAAAATATACTGCAAAGAGGCAGCTAATGGCTGAGAAGTGAACTCCCTTATTTATCGTCCGTCTTTTTATTTTTGTTGTACGTTAAGAAGCATCTTCCCATCATACATTGCCCAAGTTTCAATGAGATAGCCCAACAAACAACAGAAAAAAAAAAATATTTACCAAAAATCATATATGGCAAGCCCAAGCCAGGTACTGAAAATAAGTCACTTTGTCTGACTTTTCTGGGTTATCCTAGGTTCTCTATACATACACTGCTATGTATGATCATCTATGTAACTGTATTTGTGTATACCTGAATAAACTTATTTACTTCTAGTCCGTCAACTGAGTACAAGAAACCGCCCATTCACTTATTTCAACTACCCAATAAAGTGGTCAGAAATTGGCAATTTGGCCGATTTCACACAAATTTCAACAGATGCCAATTTCGAAATAGGGTCCAGAATAAACAATGCAGACATTTCTGGCACTAAAATAACATTTTCTCTGTTCATTACTCACGGCTACAGGCCCCTCTTATATTACTCTTGCTTACCATTTGGAATTTTTATTCACAAAAAAAATTGAAGATTTACTGTTATGCAGACTACTGCATTATTGTAATAATTGTATAAATAATGTCAAGCCATTATTGACTCCGTACTGGACTGGCAGGCGGACAGGTATTGGACAGTGACGTCATTTGCTTACTCTTGAGCTTCGCTAAAGAATAGAACATTTTCGCTACTGCGAGCGCAATTTCAAGGTACTTCTCGTCATGAAAGCAATCAAAAAATACTATTTCTGTAATAGCTTTCATTCTGTCAAATGGATTGAAAAAATGAGAAAAAAACCCTAACAACCACACAAAAATCAGTGGACCCCCCATAAAAAATGGGATCACATCGATTATTTCCCCAACCGCTTCTTTAAAACGCAAAAATTTTTGCCGCGCATACCCTTAAAAAACCCCCACCCCTTTTTGTCGGAAAGCGTCCAATGTGCGCCCTCAGCCAGCCTCACTGTCTGCCCGTGCCCTTGTTTACCACCACCTCCGCGGTAACATCCAAGCATACACCGGAATATTTCGTATTATTAAAGTGTTTTCGGGGCTGTTCTGGAAAATAAGTGACCCTGGGGCCCCCGAAAGCTTCTAGGCCCAAACCCCGGGTAAAAAGGGGGAGAATAGTATGGAAATTAAAAAAGATTTTGGGTTTGGGCAACCCTGAGAAGCCTTCCGTTTGGAATCCCTTGTGCCTACTTTAAAATTAAGGGAAATTTTTTGCACAGTGGGTTGAACGCAAACCTTTATGGATAAAAATCACCCTGACACAGATGTTGCAAGCCGTGCTGGTGACTATTTCAATGACAATGTTGTGGCCATTTTAGACAAATCGTAAAGGAACGGGAGGTACAGAGCTCTATGGACAGATTTGTTTGTGCAACAGAGGTCCAGTGACTCTCAAGTGGTCCTAGTGGCATTAAAAGAAGAAGGGAAGTAACCCCGGAAAAGGACTTGTACCTCAAGTCCTAATGGAAGGGGTTTCCCCCTTTTCTAAACAATAATTCAAACACTCTCCCCTCCCCCCATCCATCAATCATCCCCAGATCTTAAATTAAAAGTAAGTGTCATGTAAGTGTGCATGCCTTTTTCAGTTTGTGTGTATTAAAATTAACATTTCATGGGGTAAAAAAAAATTTTTTTCATACTTTGGGTGTCTTTGCACGGATTAATTTTATTTCCATTATTTCTTATGGGGAAAATTCATTCACATAACGATTATTTCGTCAAAAACAATTACCCCTCTTGCACGGATTAAAATCATTAACCGGGGGTCCACTGTATACCGCTAAGCGCCGCTAATGGTGAGAAGTGAACTCCGCTATTTATGGTCTGATTTCTTTCATTTTTGGTGTACGTGAAGAAGTATCTTTCCATCATACATTGCCCAAGTTTGAATAAGGATAACCCAACAAACAACTGAGAAAATAATAAAAATAATAAAAAATAATTAATAATATAATAATAATAATAATATAATAATAATAATATATCTTTATTTACTACACGTACATGTACAAGGTATACAGGCCTAGCGACATCAGTGACATACTACTGTAAAAGAAAGCCGCTTGTTATGCTGAGTATTTCAAGAAAATTTGGTCAGTGTTCCAGGATAACACCCACACTAGTCGCTAACACCCAGGTACCCATTTACTGATGGGTAAACATAGCAACAGGTGTAAAGAAACACGCCTAATGTTTCTACCATGGCTGGAATCGAATATTTACCAAAAATCATATATGGCTAACCCAAGCCAGGTACTAAAAAATAAGCCACGTTGACTTTTTTGGGGTTATCCTAGGTTCTCTACACATATGCTGCTATGTGTGATAATCTATAGAGAGAAAATAACTTTTTTGTTTCATGTTTATGGTGGAGTACAAGTGTATATCACAGTTAGCCCTGTGCTATACTCCGTTTTCTCTAATATAAGCCACCAAGACAAGGATAGGAGAATGGTATTTGTTTACCATATCCTCTTCATAACTCTGTCGAACTGCTCGGTGTTATGCCAAATATTATTCATTCTGGAGTATTTAACATGTTTTATGTTATTTATATTGTTTCTTATGTCATATTAGATCAATTGTGATAGGCAAATAAGCTGTAGTGTTGATATTAGCATAATAATAAACATTCTCCTGCTTCATGACTGAGCTCATGGCAACCGACAGTGGCTTCAAAGCCACCTTATCTTTAATGGATAATGTACTGTGTAGGTGCTTTACATAATGAGAAGCATTTCTTTTATTCACTGGAACCATGGCTAGGGCTAAAAGTAAGCAGGTTAAAACAATAAATGGAGAAAAAGAAATTGGAATGACTTATGCAGCAAGTAGCGCCACCAAACAGTACCAGCAGGTTGGTGTGGCGACCCTGGAAATTTGAAATTATGCTAGCCAAAATTAGTGCCGAATAACTGAAGGAAACCGAATAACTGATTGCTGGATTTGTGATGGCGGACCTGTACTATACAATTAGGGTGACAGCCTCTCCTCACTTTTGACGAGGTTCTGTTCCCAAGAGTAGGTCGGTAAGCGAATTGGTCGTTAAGCGACAAACATACTATACTAGTGCTGAGTCAATCAGGCTGTTACTGCTGGCTGCATGTAAACCGAAATACGAACCACAGCCTGGCTGGTCGGGTACTGACTTTCAGTACATGGCCAGCTCCTTATTGAAGACAGCCAGGCATCTATTAGTAAGCACCCTTAACCCTTTCAAGGTTTCGGCCGTACTAGTACGGCTTACGTGCCAGGGTTTTTGATGTACTAGTACGCATAAATTCTAGCGCCTTAAAATCTCGCAGGAAAAGGCTGGTAGGCCTAGATGTGAGAGAATGGGTCTGTGTGGTGGGTGTGCGCAGTAGAAAAAAAATCTGGGACCCAGTGGCGCATTGTGGGAACGCTATGTTAGTACACCTTGTCCACCATCCCTCGCGGTAAGAAGCTCCTCACTCCTCGGCGAACTTGGGACACTTTTGTTCCCCAGTGACAGTTCTAATACAGATGGAAGTGCCAGTGAAAATGAGTTTCAAGGTTTTGGTGAGGTTTTGACTGAAACTAATGACTATAATATCGGTAATAGTGAGGAAAACCCAGACGACCCTCAGTCTTCCACCTCTGCTGCTGGGCCATCTTGTTCATGCTCAGTTGTACCAGAATCAAAGAGGAAACTCCTATTTTACCAAATCCCAGACTCAGATGTGAGCATTTGTGATGATAATGATAGTGATTATGAACTACAAGCTCTTCAAACTAGTTCCAGTAGTGATAGTGAAGTGCAATATTCCTCAGTGAAGCGTCAGTATATATGACGATATATGCACTCTGGGAGTGTGCCATATGCTATTCCAAGGGGAAGGAGTACA